TTTAGCTATCCTTCAACCTTGTGTACAACAACTTCAAATTAGTGGTCTTATTATGAACTAACATGTTCAATGATTATGAATGAATGGATGAATACAATGCATGAAAAAAAAATTATTTGCCCCTTTAAGGACATTTAAGCAAAAATAAATTTTCATTTATTTCACTAAAGTCTGTTTTACACTGAGTCTATTATTCTCTATTTATAAAAATGCTTAATTTGCTGATATTGATCCTTGGCTTCTTCAATAAAGTTCAACAGGTACTGTCTGTATTTTTCCTGATGGTATAATCATTGTTTTCAATGCCTCAACTTCTTTAACGATCTCTCTTGCTTTGATCACTGTCTTGCTTATTTGAGTTGCAAGATGCTTTATATACCTTTGCTTTCTTAGACCTTTTTTGCCAAACCATACATGGTAAGATCACTCTATATGCTCATTCGTGAGTGCCATGATGTGATCCCCTTGTTCGTTCAACTTTTGTTTCAATGTCTGAGCATATCTTTTAAACATTTGATTTTCTTATTGGGCCTCAACATGATCATCCTAGATTTGGGAACATTCATTTTTCAATTTTTCATTATCACAAGTCAAATCAGTAATGCTTATTTTCTTGGCTTTCACTTGGATGCACAATATTTTATGCTCTTGATATAACTCCATCTACTTCTTAAGGGCTTTGTCACGTTCCCTAACAACCTTGTGGGCTTTGCTTTCAGCTTTTAATTTTTTATGTCGTTGATGAAGTTAAGCCAAATCCTTAACTATCGTATCATGTTCCTGGAGATTTTGTCGACTCAAGCTTCTAGCTTTTCTGCCTTGTCTTTCCATTGCTATTTTTTTTCTTAAAACCTTAGTATCTCTTACTTCATCTTATCTTTTTTAGCTTCAAATTTCAACTTTGAAGGTATCTTATCCAACCCTTGATTCATTGGTTGGCAATGATCTTTGAGTGTAAACATAACCCCTTTGACCCTTTTGGCTCTCCATACCAAATACCCATAAGTGACTTTATCAGTAAATGACCTAAGACTCACTCTTTTGGTCTTTTTCCATACCTTGATTATATTATCCACCTTTTGTAGCATTTTTTGCTCACTATATAAAAAATATGCTTGAGTGAGTTTGTGTGTCACAGGGACGAATTGCTCTACCCTAAACTGCCTTCGAACTATAAGTGATGCGTAACTTGTTGCTCCCCATAAATTTAAAAGTGAAACTCCAGTCTCATCCCTACACTAGTACAACATCAGTTCACGATTCATCCATGGAGCTAACCATTTTCCCTGAATACAAGTAAGGCCTTGTAGCAAGACCATCTATTCCTTCTTAGGTTTGGGCTTTGGCCATTCACTCTCACAAAACTCTTTAATCGAAGCTTGATTATGAAAGTACAATTTGGAAAATGCATTCTTCTTACACTCAAAGTGACTTTTCATCGACGAGTGTAACAATGGTAAACAACCCACGAAATGGGTTTTACCCTTTTGACAACAATGGTTCAAAGATCTAATCGTTTCAGCCAAAATTGCAAGAGAGAGATTACAATTTTTTTCCACATGCAAAAGAAATCAATCACTTTTATTTCAATATGACCCAAGATCTTGGGAAATATCACCATGCCATATATAGCCAAAGCAAACATATCTAGCCCTAATCATAATTTAAATGTTTTGTGATAAAGTCACAGAAAAATTCCTAAGGCAGACAAATATAGTCATTTTTTTCTTGAACTTGTACTTTTATCTATTTTTTTTTTACTCCTATGACATTTGCTAGTTTCTTACGAAATGTTATTTTTTACCTTCTGACATATATCCTATTTGGTGACTCGAGATGCAAACCTATAAGTGTAGAGTACTCTTCTATAATTGGTGTAACCTTATTGAAGATAAAGCATCTATATGAAGGATCTTGAAATTGCATAGTGACTCTAATGAGGGAATATTTAACTACCACTGAAAGGAGATGTGCAATATGATCATACTTCGTACAAAATGGCGATTCTCTAGACTGACTCATACCTTTCCATATATCAGACAGGTTTTTCAAATCATTTGTTTGAAGAGCAAATGAACTTCTTTAGGCAAAGTAGAAACATAATTTGGTAGTAAGCAATCACCTTTCTTTTTGTTGCTCTTCTCTGATTCCACTTTTACATCATTAGGTGGCTCACACTTGAAGAACATAGAGGAGGCACAAACTAGATGTTCAGTGCATTCCATGAGATTCTTTGTTGAAAATACACTTAGAGCAAGTATGTAATGCAATTTGTATGAATGTTTTATGAATGCGCAAAAAAAAGAAAAACAAAGAAAATAGTTAATCAATATACAAAAACAACATATCAACAAAATAAATACAACATCATGGTACTACTTCAGGTAAACTCTAAAGGGTTAAGGGAATATGGCCCTACTTGTGGTTTAAGCTCGTAAGGTTAACTATATGTAGTTTAAGTTATTTCTAAAGGTTCTTTTATTGTTCCTTACATCACTATCTATGATAGAGTAGTGAGGTACTTCAATCCTCGTCCATTATAGGCTACAAGTGGAAAATGTTCAATTTTTGTAGGAGTTTTTCGCTAGCCCATACAGAGACATGAAATCTCACGAAAGAATAGATACTTTACTCCCCCTTAAGGGATAAAACTCAAGTGTAGAGCTCATGTTTTGCAAATGCAAATGAATGACAAATATATAAAATGAATAAATAAATAAAATACGGGCAAGAAAAAAATCTTAAATTTATTAGGTTAGGCTTGGATAATAAGAAATCATTTACTGGCTTGACTCTCAATCTCTTTTGCGGAGTTGTCAAATTATCATAACGTATAGATCCGTAAACCTACCTCTAAACATAAACTTTAAGAAGTCGTCACCAATATTTTTTGTTAAAATGTGATTGGCCACGTGGCAGAATTTGTCTTATTTAAAAAGAAGTCCCAAGATTGACTTAGGTATCTCTAAATAATATATTTTGATCCACAAAACCAAAATTTAAGTTTAAGAGTACGATTATACGTAAATGAGATTATAGCACCCTTACAGCACCCATCCAGAAGGTGATAGCAATGTCATTTTAAGTTATCCAAGCTTTAAAACATGTCTAAAATTTATCAAATAATTTAATATTAGAAATTTTTCTTAAATTCTTCAAATATGTTGGTAATAATTTAAGAATATTTTCTCATCTCAAAAGTATTCAAGGAGATTATTTGTCTCACTTTGAAAATGTTTCATCATCAGATTCATTTAATTTTGCTTTTAAAATAAATATCTATAAACAAGGTTTATAGAAAAAAAAAGTCCTCCAATTTGTTGGTAAGACTTTTGCTTAAAAATTATTCTCCAATTTATTGATAGGATTTTATAAAAAAATAAAACAAGAAATCTTATTTTATTATTATTTTTTTAATTTTTTTAAAACTTGATTTTTTTCTGAAAATCATAAAGCTTTCCAATATGTTGGTAAAGTCTTATTTTTTAAAAGTATTGGTCTTCCAATTTGTTAGTAAGGCTTTTATTTAAGTATCGTTTTTTTGAAAACACATAAAATTGTAGAGTTCTCCAATATGTGGATAAAATCCTATTTAAAAATTAGCTTTCAATCTATTGATAAGGTTTTTATTTAAATATTATATTTTTTATAAAATATATTTTTTAAAAATAATGGATGAATAGATAAATAAGGAAAATAATTAATAAAATAAAATAAGAGTATCTAGACTCAGCAAAGGTGGTGGTTGGTGCGTACGGCTTGGCTCTAGGCACGGAAGAAGGACCACTGTGATGCGGCTCAAAGACTCGGCTCAACAACTCCATCGGCTTAGGTGAAGCAAGGGTTGATGGGTCATGCGGAGCAGTTAGGGACAAGTTGCGGCAAAACACACGGACCTTGTTTTTTTTTTTTTTAGGGTAAAGTGGCGTCGTTTTATGTGGAAATAAAAACTCCAAAATTCCTTTCTTCTCTCTTACAATGGCAAAACCAATCTCTTTTTAAAACTTTTATCTTTTTACTTTCTCTCTACCCTATGAACACTGGATGGATTTGCACCAATTTCTAGAAAAATGCACCAAAAACTAGGTATCTTCACCGAAAACTTCAACAAGATCTGAAAACTTTAGAAAATAGCCCAAAGACGCTAATCAAACTCTCATTTTCCTATGAAAGCCTTCGAAAACCTTCCTTAAACCTAACTCAATCCTCACAATCTCAAAATTCACAAGGAATTCCAGAAAACAAAAGTAACAGAAATCGTATTTGTGAATGAATTTTTTAGCCCCTCCCCTTTTTCTGTTGTGAATTTGTGCTTGATTTATAGGTCATTTTTTAACAAAATTTTAAGGATTTACTGATTCAATTAAAGCTTGAATCCCAGGATTTTGTTATGGCCTTTCAATTTTGATTCAAGTTTCTCATTTTTTGTGCAAATAAAAAAAAAATCAAACATTGTTTGCCCAATTCATGCGTGCGGGATTCAAAAAAATTTGATTTGAAATCACGCATACAAGAATCCCAGCCAATTTGGTCTTCTTTCTATTTTTTATTATTGAAACATTTTTTTTGTTTATTAAAAAATCGAACAAAATAAAAAATAAAATAAAAGAGATAACAGAATGTTTATCAGGCCAAAAAGTCTAATAACAATTATTGGGCCTAAAGCCCAAACAAAAAGAACCACACTTTGGGTCATAAATTGAAATAAATTCATTCGGGGCCCAAAGATTCGAATAAAATTTACAATCTAGCAATTGGTCGCATATCCCGAACGAAAATAGGTGTTTACAAATATTTTTTTAGGTTTTATGCTTGTCTTTGGTCTCTCAAGTAGTTATTTTTTCTCCCTTTCTTTTTTTAATTTATAAGTCACTGTCAAAGATATGTATAATTTTCCTGGCAACTACATATTGAAATTTAGATGGATATTGAGGAAGGTTTTGTATATACATATCAAAATGTTACCTTTGAATGAGTTTTTCTTTTTACCATTTATTCAGGTAATTCCAGCGTTTGAGGAAGCTGTTTCAGGAATGGCTCTAGGTGGCGTTAGAAGGTGCTTGTTCTGCTTTTCTAACGCATATAACCTTTTTTTGCACTATTCACACATTGCATACTCTTCTCCATAATCTCTTTTGGCTACCAACATTAAGTGTGTCAATTAAATCCTCTGATAACCAAGAGAAAAGCATACGGTAAAAGATGGATTCTTGCTCAATGCTTTCAAGTGCATTCAACTTTTTCTACTCAGTCTGAGCTAATAATTTCGTGCAGTCCAAGCTATAAAACTTCAGGAACCTCTTGATGCCAGATGCTCGACACTTTTTCCCTTGATCATAAAAAGAAAACCAGGATTAAACAATTTCTTTTCTGTGACCATACTGTATACAAATTTCACAGTTTACTTCACAGTGATGCAGGATCATAGTTCCACCAGAACTGGGATATCCTGAAAATGATTTCAACAAAAGTGGCCCCAGACCAACAACCTTCTCGGTAAAATTCAAGTCTTTTTGGTGCACCTTGTGTTGTTTCTTTTGTTCAAATGATGCAGTTTTTTTGTGTCTTCCACAGGGTCAACGAGCATTGGATTTTGTGCTCAGGAACCAAGGGCTTATAGATAAGACTCTACTTTTTGATATTGAGCTCCTCAAAATCATTCCAAATTGATTTCTGCTCTAAGGTCATCATGTCTCAACAATTAGAGAGGGAAAATATAGAGGTTGGAAATTGTGTATATTTTATACTATTGAGCTGGTAATAGGTCCATCGTCATGACAATGAATCATGAGTAACCTTTTTGTCCCAGAGAGGTTTTCTTGATACTGTCAACACTGGAAGCTGAAGTCAGCCATAGGTGAAAATATTGGAAAACATTGGGACAGGAATGTGAAGGATATCTTTCATGAAAGCAGGGAGGCCATGAAATAAAGTATAACTCTGCTAATTGGTTTTTGGCATTTCTTTATCTTACCAACTAAATTATGATGGTCTTAAGAAAGATCTGGTTGGCCATTCTGTCCAAATTTTGTTATTCCAAAACCTCATTTCAGTGTCACAAGTTTTGTAACATTCGTGTATATGAAAGTGGGTTTGTATTGTTGCTTTTGCTCATACTCATAAAAGCTCTGGTTTTCTCTACAGACTTCGTAGAAGTTTGTTATTCCTATAATTTGTTTTGTTGCAGAGTCTTAGCTCTCACGTGAAAATATTACTTCATGCCTACAATTATAATCTCCATCATTATAGACGAAAGGGCAAGCTTCTTTGAACTCGTGTCACCCTGTGCAGTACGAAGCAGGCCAAGGATGAAGGCCAATTGACTTGACTCAGTTTGCACCCATGCATTATTGACCCAGATGTCATAATTGTGTTCATTTATGGGTACTCTGCCATTAACATTGGTTTAAAACTTTTCCAGTGCTTGCTTGTATATCAGTTTCACTGCAATGGTATTTAGTTGATTCAGATAATTTGCTTTAACCGGTATTCAGGTCCTATAACTTGCTGTCTTACCCGCTTTTGTTTTTGAAATCTCAACCACTACAAGGAAGAACTTGAAGAGTTCATATTCTTGACTGGTAAGAAGAGATCCCGCTGAACAAAACCAGCAGTTAAAAGTTGAGACAAGCTTGGGAGATTGGTGGCTATGTAATTATGGGTGCAGTAAGCAATTAAGATAGCCCCCTATGACGGTTATTTGGCCAACTTAAATTTTGATAAGGTTTGTTTTAAATTGTTTGTCTAGAAAGACGTGTAAGGTGGGAATTCGAACCCACTGTCACCATCCCTTGCCCTGTGGACCAAAAATAAATTCTAATAAGGTTCAAAGCACACCAGTCTCAAGTGCATGTAATAGCGATAATGATAGTTTACACAACGTATCCTGCTGATCATGTTGCTATCCTGCCCGACCTAGGATAGTGTCGTTTATTTGGCTGCCTAATCTAGTCAAAATAAAACAGAAGCATTTAGTGCTTTCTGATTGACTTCAAGATAACAACTTCAATGCTTCGGAAAGGAATCCGACGCAAGTACAGAACACCTAAATCAAACTTTGATCGTGAACTAATCATAAATATTATAGCAATAGACGATGGCCATTAGAAAATAGAATCCAGAGATTGCTCTAGTTATCACAAACCAATGTTTCAAAACAGAACAACAAAACCAACAACCAAATATTCAAATAGCGATAAGATAACAGTGTAGCAGCTGTTATTTTACGATCGCACCACTATCCGTCATTGTTATTAGAGGAAAAATGAAAAAAAATTTGAATTTCATCTATAACAAACGAATCACAGTCGAAAATTATTGTGTAACGGTGAATAGCGGTAATAGCGAGTCGCTATTGCCTGCTATTACCGCTATTCCTATTTTCATTAAAAAAAAAAATCATTTGATTCTATTTAAAAACTTAAAATAAAAACAGCAAGAAAGAAAATAAACATCAAATTTACAAATTCAAAAAAAAAAAAAAACCCACAAAACTTAAAACTTTCAAAAATATCAATTCTTTCAAATTCAACTTTAATCAAAATCAAGTATATGTAGTTTAAGGTAATCAATTAATTCAATACTCAAATTACTCTTTTTTTTTGAATTTTCAAATTTGCCATGATTTTGTATGTTTTGAATTAGATTGGACTATGATACATTGGTAGAAGGAGACAGGAGTTATTGAGACTTGAAATGAAAGACAAAAGATGAGAGTGAGACTTGAGATTGAGGGAAGCAAGCAGATAGCACACACCAAATAAAAAGAGAATTGAGAGATGAGGATGAGGATGAAAGTTTGGAGGAAAAAAATTATTGAATGCAAGGTGAATGGATTATTGTTAAGAAGTAAAGGAAGTAGACTTGAGGTTATTATTGTTGAAAATTGCCCACAACATGGAGGCTACTAAGTTTGATTTACTGTAAGTTTATAAAATGTAATTCTCTTGACTCATAAATAATAATGCTCTTACTTAATTTATGAATGTCTAATCACTTATTATTTATTTATACATAATATAATTTAGTAATAATTTGATAAGTATGGTAATTAAATAATTAAATATATCATTTGTTATGATTATTTATTTTTCACATGTTTATTTATCTCTTGTTATTTTTTAATTATCATATAAATAATTTTTTAAATATGAATATTTTACTATAAAATTTTTTTTTAAATAAATAAAACACAAGATATGATATAAATTACTTTAAAAATCATAAAATAAGAGGTTTTATGATTAATAATTAAAATTATTATATTTTATAGCAAGTTGAGCAAAATTTAAAAAAATTCACTATCCCGATAATCACAATGACCGTGAAGGTTTCTGTTATATTTGTAACCGTGACAGATGTAACACGATAAAAAACGTGACTGCTACCACAATTTAAATCACTGCCAACAACATTACGAAGAAAATAAATTAAAACTTCTACTTACCCACAAAATTATATAGTTAATTAACTGAAAGTTGTAGCCGCTTGTAACGAACCGTCACCTTTCCTTTCACACCAACTACCATAGCATTCCAGTAAATCTCAGGAAAAGTTGACACAAGCTCCAATTCAAAGTTCCTCAACAAATGGCTCCATATACCTTTTATCTGAAGGTAAGCAAACGGTTCGCCAGGGCAACCATGCCTGTCCCCTCCAAAGGAAATATATGAGACAGCCCCTGTTGCCCTGTTGCTTTGTCTTCTTCCCTCCCCGCAGAGAATCTATCAGGATCATAAGAGTCTGGATCCTTGTAAATGTAAGGAAGCCTGTTTGCAAATGCTGGTGATGTTGCAACAATGTGACTTTTTGGGATGTCATACTCTTTCCCATCTCGGGTTTTTACACTAAAATCACTGTGTGAGCAGCGTAGAAGCATAATCAATGGGGGATGAAGTCTCAAGGCTTCCTTAATGCACCGATACAAGGTGTCCATCTCAGATAAGTTATCGTAATCAACCTTGCTTCCATGCTTTTGCATTAGTTGTTTCTGCCCCTTGAGCACAGCAGATAGGAACTCCTTGTGACGAGGGAGATAGGCACCAGTCCAAGTAGAGGTGATGGAACTAGTATGCTGCCCAGCAAAGAGAGCAGCGATGAGCAAGCGGGTTACTTCAGCCTCAGCAGTCGGGCGACCATCTTTGTACTTAGATTCAATGAAACATTGCAACATGTCGTTCTCTGACTTGCCAGCACTTCTACGGTAAGCTATGATATTTCCCAAGATTTATGCAAGCTTCTTTCGAGCTTGGTCACGACGTCGATGAGGAGGGATAGGCAGGTAAGGGAAGATAACACTGATAGGGAGCATGCCATTGTCAAGATCATGGAAGAGTGCAGACACATCATCAAAAAGCTTACCACATACTTCTCTACCCAAAAGACACCTACAAGCAGTCAAGATGATCAGATGCTCCAGCTCGTACTTGATGTCCCCCTCACCGCTATCCCCCTACTTTGAGAAGTAGTCCAATTCCAAAATGATTAGAGAACAGAATCACAACTATGGAGTTACAACATTGTGAAAGTATGCAACACACTAACACTGAACCATACAAGAAACCTTGAATTCAGTACAAAAGTCACAAAACTTTCTCTTCACTAACATGTCATCTGACCTCCCAAACCAAATATACCTAGTGTTTATTATCTTTTATTCATTTTTATTCATCAGTGCAGTCCAAGGAGTAAACTTGAGTGGGTTATTCACAGGCAATCATCAATTAATAAAAAGCCACCAACACACATTCGTTTTCACTTATAAAGGAAAAAGGAAGGTGAACATATATTTTTTGCAGGAACCATAACAACTTGAAATATAATGCTCGAATTGATTTTAAAGAAAGCAACATCAATATCCAGAACAAGTTTGTTAGCGTGTGCAGATTATACTTCAAACTTCGGATACTCTAAAATCTATGATGTCTCCTGACCATCTCAAGTTTACATAATCCAAAATGAAATAAGAAAGTACTTTTATTCAACTGGGTTCATTTATTATCCACCAAACTTCAATTTACGGGAAAACAACGCCATGTTAGTCAAAACTTCATTTTCCCTTTATCAGATACACCAAAACTATCGAATAAGAACATAAACCAAATTTCTAACAGTATCACTCACCGCAGCAACTGTAACCATCTGATCCACAAAAACCTTAAGTTCATTAACTCTAAGGGCCTCCGTAAAGAACCAGAACTGCTCTTGCCTTAGAGAGGTGCGCTGAAACCTCAGGCCCAATCAAGAAAGTTATCTTCTTGTTAAACAAGTTCAACGTGAAAACACTGCCAAGTTTTGGGTACTCCTCCCGGAGCATCATGATGGGCCCTTTCACGATTCAAAGGAGCCCACCAATTACTGGCCAGGTTTTGATTACTGGTGGCACTCGGGATCATTATGACTCTAATATCATTTGTTTGAAAGTTAATACGCACATATAACATTCACACATAAAATAATAAACTTAAAACTAAAATAAGAATACGTAAATATATATATTTTGACTCAACTCAAAATAATTTATTTCAAATGTAATTCACTAACAAATAAATATTTATAAATATGATATTTTTAAAATGAGAAAAATCATCAAAAATTCGTTACTCGAAACTTAATAAAAAATTTAATTACATCATTTTAATACTTTACTTACTTAGCTATTATCTTGATATCTAATTATCTGAGATTATCAAATCAAAACTAAAATATTTTATTTATAAAAATAAAATTTTTTATACCTTTATCAAACCTCCGATATGAGATTTAAATTTTTATAATTTTATTTAACTTTCAATGTAAAATTTTAAAATTCAAAGTAAATCTCAATAACTCACTTCTTAAATTAAATCTAGGAATTATGAGGTAAGAAAGATGTAAGCTTGGCCACTATTAGAGTGGCTACTATGAGAACAATTATGTTTAAAAACTTGTCGTCTATTTCCATGGCTGCTTGATTTGATAAGTTTCTATCAGTTCTCGGCTGAAAATCAAAGAAAAAAAATAAGAACCGTAAAATTTAAGAAGAAAATTAAGGTACGGAGAAGAGTCTTGAATCAATGCTCTCTTAAGACAAAACTTTGACTAACTTGAGTCCAACATTCCACTACTCGAAAAGTAAAAATAAAAGGAAAAAACAAAGGGTCAGAATGGAAAAATAGCGAAAACTGATTCTGCTTTTTTTAAAAAAATTTTGTTATGTAAAATGTTTTTGTAGGAAATCAACAAAAGGAAAATTTTTTTCAAAAAATAAGTTAATAAACCCAAGAAATTAAAGATAAAAAATAAAGAAATTAAAGCTAAAAAAATGAAGATTACATCCAATTTGAGATTCAAAATGTAGGAGACTAGGAAAAAAAAAAAAAAAAAACAAATAGAGACAAGGTCACTTGGACTAAAGAGATACGTAGCAAATTGAGAATCACTTTTTTTTTTTTTTTTTAATTTTCTCACTGCAGTAAAAGAAAAAAAAAGAATGCCAAAAAAACTTCCCAAATTAAAAAGCTAAGCAAAGATGAGAAGTCGATAAAATAATTTATATTTAAGAAATTTTAATTTATATTAATTTGATAAAAATAGTTTATTAAATTCAGATTAAAGGTGAGATGTGTATTTTAAAAACAAAGGAGATTGGTTAGAGGTGAGTTTTAAGATATTTTATCTCCATTCATCCCAATAAATATATAAAATATATTTTTTTATTATTTATTTAATTTTATATTTATATATAAATATTAATAAAATTATTATTTAATATATTAATTTAAAAATATTATAATTATATAATTAAAAATTAATTTATATTATAAATAATATTTTATAAATAATATATTAAATTTAAATTATTAAATTATTTTTAAATCGAATGAGAGTTAAATATGAGTTATATATATATATGTTAAATTAAGTTAAATATAAGAATAATAGTCCGATAATAAATTAAATCAAAATCAAATAAAAAATTTTAAATAAAAAAATAAAACTATCCCCACCCAATTCGTTGTTATCAACAGTTGTGACTTGATTTTAAAGAAAGATTAGTAAATCTAAAACTAATCACTGTTTTATAATTGAACCAAACCATGAGACTAGAAGCTAGCTTGGAGTGCTTGCTGGATTTGGTAAAAACCGCGGGTCTCCAAGGAACAGTTTTGCTGTTGATGTGTCATATTGTAATTGGACGAGGGACTTTCATCATAATTTTAGAGTTAAATATAAAAATAATTCATGATATATATATTTTTTCTTAATATGATACTTAAAAATAAAATTATAAATAATTTTTTTTTGAAATTTAAAA